CCCCCCCCCCCCCCCCCAGATCTTGGCTCCCACGTTTTCCATGGGGGAAGAGGAATACTTTTTATCTCTAATCAATAGGTCTTTGGAGATACTATACTGTGTTTTCCCATTCTCAGAATGCATTATGATTACACATATTATATATAACATAACTTGAGTATTGAAAAGTGCCAGTTATATTGTATTGATATTATCTACTACTACTCTATTTGCTTTTATGCTTGTGCAGCACCAAGAAATAATTGTGGTGTTGTAACAATGATGTAATGAAACAAACTACATTCAGCAACAGGAGCTAATGCTTAGCTATGAAATGTGTATTTAAAAACAGACGGACAGACAGACCCTGATGTACATTCCTACCTGGTATTAGAAAAGAGATTCCAGGAAACTTACCCAAAAATCGCAGATGTGCTGAGAGATTGTATGCAAATCCTTGAGGCACAAAGGAATAATCAGCTTCATCTTCTGGGGTCACATCATCAATGGTTAGTTTATGGATTCTGAAAAGCAACTATTTTTGTTTGAGTCTAATCTTTCTCCGGTATAAATCCTGTCCCACAGGGTAGATGAACAATGCTTGTTTTAAGCCACATATATTAGAATATAATTAGAAGCTGTATAGATTTATTTTCTGAATTACAATCACTAAGCCCCAAAGGCATGACATCTGTATATCACATCCAGACTAGTGTTAATGGCATTTGGGAAAGAAAATGTTATTGATTAAAATAATTTGAACATTACTTTTTATGCAGAATCTATGCTAGGAAGTCTCTTTATACAGAAAACAATGCCATATTTCCTTCCTTCCACATCAATATGCTGTACTAGAGCATTAAAGGGTATGGAAATGTTTGAATATGCTTCTACAAGACATACTCTTCCTTCTACACAGATAAATCAAAAAGTTCATTAGCTGACCAAGTGGAAAGGGAAACAGACTGGAATGCCAAGAGATTACCCTTTGGGGGATGAAGTTGTAATGTCCCCCATGGGTTCCTCTGCCTATTGCAATGGACTGGATTGAGATCCACATATATACATTAGATGCATGAGAACATTTCTTATAGCATCAGCTGTTTTCAGCACAAAGCATAGGAATTATAATCCAAGTGAATGGGTAACATCTGGCAAATCAGTTTTTAAATTTTGTATTGCTTTAATATACAAAAAAGAGGGAGGAAAAATTAAAAAATACAAAAATAAACAGAAAAAGGAAAAAAGGAAACCACAAAAGTAAATTATATTACATAAAAGAAAGACATGTGGCCAAGTTTTTAAATGCATCATTAACTATTGACTACCAAGAATAACATTGATCAGCCTTTCCATTACATTGATAGAGTTTTATGTTTATGAATATTCTCAGTCATCCAGGTGGAATTGTCTGGAGGTTGAGTCATGCCAGCAGGACTTCAAAAGCAGTCCAGTTGCCATGACTCAACCTCCATACATTGATAGAGAGCTAGTTTATAAACAGAAAGCCAATACATATTACCAATCTAGTTCAAAGTTTAGGGTTACACTATCTTTCCAATGTTGAAGGATAACTTTGCAAACCCCATGCTGAATAGATCCATAGTTCTTCATTTAGTGATAATTCCAAATGTTTGTTACATAATCAAAAGTACATTTGTATCTTTAAATTTTATTGTTCTTCACAATATGATTCTAAAAAAACAATATGGATATTAGTCATTTGCATTCCCTAGAGAAATTGAAGTAAAAATATATGCCCAATGACAAAACTGAAATTTGGAATGTTAAAATCCCCATCATCATATAGTGACTATAACTTAGATAAAGAAAATCACGGGGTTTGTTCTTCCCACAGAAAATTTCTTAATATCTTATCAATTTGCCTAAAAGAACTCAAAGTTATTAGCACAGGATTACCTCAAAATGAATATATTAATGTTGAAGCAATATTAGTTTTTACATTTATCTTTCCCCATAAACTCAGTAGGATTTTAAACCATCTATTTATGTAAATTCTATAATTTATACCCACACACATATAAACTTATATAATCAAATGATGAGCCTGACTCAATCCACTGAAGGATGAAGGACTCTCATTGAAAGTTAAGGACTGCAGTTTATGACAAAATCCAGTGCAGGTTGGTAGACAGATGTTTTTTGATTTCCCATTCTAGGCCTGAGAGAGATGACTGACCCAAAGTTACCCAATTAGCTTTAATACTTAAGGGAGGATTTAACCTTGGTCTTAACTGTTATACCCCATTGGTGCTCTCTCTCACTTTCTCTTCTTATTCACATACAGAGAAAGTTTCCTTGGAGTAATTATTTCCAGCCATTTACATTCCAACAAATTAAATCTGAATTTTTGCAAATTTCCATGGAAATTATTACAACCTATAGGAAGTATATGAGACTTATTCAAATTAATGGAATAATCTAATAAATTGCCAAACTATTTCACAATATTAAAACATATTGGTACAGAACGTACATAATAATAAGACAAAATATATCATCAGGCCATAATAACAATTTATTTTCATATCTAGTCACTGTTATATTCAAAATCTGTCCATTGCATAAGGTGGGCCAATAATTCCAATATCAAGTTAAAATTAAGAGGAGATAAAGGACATCCTTGAAGAATTCCATGAAACATCTTGATAGATTAAGAGGTAATTCCATTTTTAATAATTTTAGCAGGAGTAGAGTACCACTTATTCAAAAATTTCCATTGTACCATATTAAAGAGTTTTTTTTACATCCAGTGAGACCACTGTGCTGGTTTCAATCTTTCTGAATATACATCTAGAATGTTAATTAGTAATTTAATATTATCAGATATCTCTTCTTGGAGAGACACCAGAAAATGAATAGAGATATCACATAAGAGTAAATCTCAAAGAAAAATAATATAGACATGTGGGCAGATCAATATTTCTGTAGGTCAAGGAGAGTGAATTTTTTGGCTGTCATAAATTTTTAAAAATTAAACACACACACCCATACACACACAAAATAACCAGTAAGGGGAAAAAAGCAGAAAATCAAAGAAAAATAAAAAATAAAAGACTGTATAAAGCAAAAACAAAACAAAACAAACCCTAAAACACAACATCTAATGTTAGCATTCCTATTTTTAATTCTGAATACTGAAAATCCAAAACACCATATTTAAATGTTCACAATACCGGAAAAAAATGTGTGAATATTATAAAGTTCAAAGTCACTTAAACATCAGTTAATTACTGGTGCATCTGTTTAAAAAAAAAAGGAAAATCATTTGGGGCTTTTTTCTGCTTGCAACTGATGGGGAACACTTCTACTTCTTACCACTTTTCCAGACCACATATTAATCCTAAGAGAATCGTCGTGTTCTAGAATCACCATACAATGCATGATATACCTGCCAATATGAGAGATTTTAATCCGATTGTTTGGGATCACCTCCTTCCCATTTTTCAGCCAGATGCCCTTCACGTTCTCGTCAGACACCTCACACTTGAACACAGCCTGGTCTCGTGCCTTCACCGTCAGATCTGCAATACTCTGGTACACTTCCAGCTTCTTTTCTGAGATTGCGAATTTGGGGAACAAATCAACATGAACGTAACAGGTCAGAGGCCAGGAAGGACCCCAACTGTAGATACTGCTTTTACAAAATGAAAAGTCAAAGAAAACTCTTCTGGAAAAGGTGAAATAGGAAGAGATATTTAGGATATGTGGGAATTTAGCATAACTTGATAAGTAGGCAGTGCTATTATCAGAATATCTCTGACATCCAACTGATGGGCCAACATCAACATATAATGCATAATTAACCATTCTTTTACTAGTGGTTATTTGTCATTACAGTTACAGAGAAGATTGTTACCAATCTCCGTACAAATTTTTAAAAGATTTTGAAACTATATATTCTTATTTATTTCTCACCTTGTACAATCAATTCTGCAACAGACTCCCCTCCATTAGTCTTGACTTTGTAGTGCCCATTATCTTCCTTGGTGGACTCATTGATGATGAGGTAGTGCTTTTTACCATCCTTTTTGAAGCGATATTTGAATGCCTCTTCCCGAGTAAGCTCGACACCATCCTTCTCCCTATGGATATCAAAGTATCATTGTGCTGATTTGATTGTACTGTTAGTTTCACTGTAATGTGTATGTATATGTATATGTGTATCTATACAGTATACACACACACACATATACATATACTCTGTGTGTGTGTGTGCATGTGTGTGTGTGTGTGTGTGTGTGTATATATATCACATAATATGACATCAATACAATTTTATTCTATTAGAGAGAGAGAGAGCATGCGGAGAAAAATATATTCACATTGATGGAAGTCAAATAGCAGTAACAGAAAGTGATATGAATGTATGTAGACTGAGGTCAGACTATAGTGATATTGATGACATGATTTGCTCTTGAATACAAAATATTTCTTAAACAAATGCTAGTAGAGGGTGGGGAAACATCTAGATTAGAATTCTAGCCATGGGACATACAAGGATTTCTCCCTTTTCTGTCCATTTAGTTTCCTTCAACCCTCTGCCTGTTATTTGCATGAAGGAAACACTATCATTAGCTTCAAGAGAAATTTTTCCTCCTATACACATAGCAGTCATGAGTAGAACCAGATCGGGACTGAATATACCATTTATGCCAGAATCCTGGTCTGGATTGGATCTCCTATACTGACAATTTGTAAGAGAAAAAACATGCTTATAAGAGCAAATTACAGGATAAGGTTCTTGCCCTGAACATTTGTTTTCATAATGATGCATGTCCATTTTAATTGTATCTCTCTTCTCTCCTTCTTTCCTCTTGAAGGAGCAGAAATGTAATATTTTGTTTTGGGGAATGTTATAGGTTGTATGGGAATGTTATAGTTTATGGCATTGTGCTTACAACTGTGAACCAGGGGATTTCCTTTGAATGTGAAATGAAAGGCTGTTTCATATATTATCACAGCAACATGGAAGAGACCCTGAAACCAGTGATGGGAACTGGGCAGGATTTGGGCAGACTGACCAAAATAACATATCCTCATCCACACCATATCCAGTCACCATAAGGAATGTTGGGGGGGGGGGCATGGGAACACTGCATGATAAGGGGAATCTGTACAAGATGGTCTCTATACATGATTACTGCCATCGTATGGATGTTCTTACCATGTTTTCCATATGGCTGTTACAAATTTAAAGTGGACCTTTGAGAGTTAGCATATGGATGCTGAGGCACTATTACAGAACTCTGTGGGGCTGTTCTGAGAATATGGAGTACAAGGTACGTTGGTATAAAATGTAGTCATGAGGCATGAGCCAATTTTTCTGCTCATAACTTTCCAAGTTTAAATTAGTTTTTTATTGGCTTTCCATTGACTTCCAGGCTCAGTTAAAAGTGTGGTTTTGATTGTAAAGTAGGAATGGCCCTCTAACATCTAACTAACTACAATGCCCAACATCCTTTACCATTGATAATGTTGGTTATGGTTTCTAAGGGTTGAAACCGACCATCCAAAGCTCACCCTTGAAAATGTTTGAGCTCTCAAAATCAAAAGGATTCCCTACTCCCATATAAGCCTTTCATACACTTAGCTTGTTACTGAAATTTTACTTTATATCCCATCACCATTTGAGATTTGTTAAGTGAGAAGGCAAAATAGCCTTTTTTGGTGGTGCCAGGCTTACTGCAGACATGCTGTGACCTAGGAGCTACGGCAAAGAGGATATTCTCTCTGTCTGTGACTTTGGAAGGCAGGATATAGCAAGCCCAATGTTTGAAAGAATGAAATTATCAGTAACTGGCAACATTTTGATTCATCAGTCAGTGAAGGCAAATGAATCCAAATGTTGCCTGTTGGTAACACATTTCTAGTATTCCCCATCCTGCTCCTGTTATTAGTTTATGTGTTTTTCTTGAATGTTATCATGTGGGTGATAGTTGCCATGTGAGTTCCTTTTAGAATTACAAATATGAACTCTAAATGCTTCTATAAGACAGGTAGTCCTTGGTTAATGACTGCCTCATTCAATGATTGTTTGAACTTAGACCACATGGGCATGTCCATGAAGTCACCAAGAGTTGAGCTCAGTTAGAGGAAATCCTTATCTTTTTAAATAAAGCCCTTTGGCCAGTTTAGGGTATAGCGCCACCTTAACAGCTAAGGATTTTCCCCCACCTACTTTACCATTTCACAGTAGCCCCTTCTTCAGACACTTCAGCTTCAAACTCCACTCTTTCTCCAACTGTGACCACCTGGTCTTCCAGGGAATGAGTAATCAGGATGGGAGGCTCTAGAAATGAAATGAGAATTTGATTTCAGAGTGGAGAATGTGAAGATAATTTAAAACTTTAGCATTTTTTCTAGTTCTTCTAGATGACATTCATGTGGAATAAGATTTATTTTCTTCAAGACCAAGGACAACATATCCCTGTGGGATTGCAGGAGCATGAAGCTTTTTTGGGAAGGTCACAAAGACCTTGGATAAAAGAGAAGAAGAGAGAAAGAATGGGAATGGGTCCCAGAATTGTTCTCTTCTTTTTCTTCTAAAACCTAAGTTCTTAACAATGTTTTAACACATTATTTAATTAAGCAGTGCCTTTTCCTTCACAATAATGACTTTTTTGTTTTGGTTCTGTACTTTTACTGTGCCATATAGTAGAATCCAGGGTGATACTAACATTTGACATCCTTGGATGCTATCACTACCCCATGGTCTCCCTCTAACTTTTTCTAGTACATTGAATAGTATCAAACAACTGGATCTTGCTATCGTTTTATTTGTCCACAATTTCCCACAGTGATAAAAGAACCAGAAGGCAATATAGTAACTTAAAATGACAGCTAGACCCAGAAACTCAGTATTGCTCAGACTAATGTGAAAGAATGTAGACCTGGCCTTAGGAAGAGGAAAGGAATGAGCAAACTGTTAAGGACAAGTTTCAGAAAGCATTACTCAGTCCTGAGATTGAAACTGAACCCAACACTCCCTCAATTTTGTTTGGTATAAGATAGAGTAGAGAGAAACTCTGACAGGCTTTCAAGATACTATTAATGTACCCTGCAACATAAAAAGCATTCCTGGAATCTCTGCTGCTTCTGTTTTGTGACCGTCCATACTTTGAAGGGCTGACATCAATCTTGAAAGCCTATCAGAGTTTCTCTTGCTCCATTTTATACTAAACAAAATCAAGGTGAAGTTATTTTGAATTTTTTTCTCATCCTTTCCTCTTTCAAAGGACTGAGTAATTTTTTCTGAAATTTTTCCCTTAACAGTTCAATGATTCCTTCCCCATTTCCAAGGTCAGGTCCACATTCTTTCATACTACAGAGCTCACCAGTAATAGCTTTAGATATGGCCCACTCACTCTTCAGCTGCAACTAACATCACCTTCAGTCCAATCCAACCTCCATATAGGTTACGTATGTTGGAAAGGCCTGAACTTGGTCACATTCCTATGAAACAAGTAAAAAATCTTGTTTTATACTATCTTATTCCCACTTCTCTGTTCTCAAGTTAAATATTATCACTTTTGTAAAAGTGATATACCCACTTCTTCTTTCTGCCTCCTTCTTTCTGCCTTTTAATTATTTCTCCTCTTTTCTTCCAGCCCTATAATTATCATGTTTGTTTCAGAAGTAAATGAAAGCTTCTTCTTTGGCATAGATGAAAGGCCATAGCTGAAAAAATATAAGAGGGATCTAGAATTGATGGTATGAATCATACAGTATTGTTGTTTTATTAATTTTTATTTGTAAACCAGAACAATCTGCCTGTAATGGTCAACACTAAGACACCAACACGTGTGTGTGTGTGTGTAGCATTACCATGCTTCTTTATCCTCCTTTAAATGGAAGCTCTAACTTTGAATGTTAATTATCATCTTTTTAATACATGCTAAGGGGATGGTGCCTAAAATTGTCTCATATTTTAATTCTAATATTCCTTAACTGAAGTAATAAAGAAATGTAATATGGAATCTGTATAGCTAATTTTTAGAACTCTTTAATTTTAATATAACTGTACCAATAGAGGCGAATATGTGTAGCTCAGGGTTGAACTGTGGAGTCCTTGGGGTTCTCTGAGCTTGGTTCTTTTCTTGCAAACGTTTCATTACCCGGCTAGGTAACATCCTCAGTGCTAAAAAGGGATGGGGTTTGCTCTCTATTTATGTGCTGTGGCCTGCCTTGCCAGTGCTGGTGGGGGTGGGGGGTTTGTTTTGCTCCTCTGGTAGTTCCTTGATTAGCATAGTAGTGAAGATGTTACCTAGCTGGGTAATGAAATGTTTGCAAGAAAAGAACCAAGCACAGAGACCCCCAAGGACTCCACAGTTCAACCCTGAGCTACACATATTCGCCTCTATTGGTACAGTTTAATGTGCATATTTTATTCACCTTTGTG